TGCTTCAAACTATTGATAGCCGTTCAAATTCGAATAATTTTATAACCGTTAAATTATAAAATTGTGATAAAATTGAAACAACTACTAAGTCCAACGAGAGATTGAAATTAGATCGATTTCGTGTAATCGCGTATCGAGTATACATTTAAGTAAAGTTTTAATCCATGTATTAAATTAGAGCATATGTAAATATTTTATGAATTTGTAAATATTCTCTATTAAGTTAGTATGAAGTATTACCAATAAAAGCAACATGGCTTTTAAATGAGAAAAAAAAAAAAAAATGATATTGCGTGGTTGTTAAATAGGAGGATAGCTTTATGTTAATTGGAGATAATGAAATGAAATATTTTTAGATAAATTAATTTTTTTTGTGTGGAATTCTGATTTTTAATATGATTATTTTACAAGATGTCCATAGAACTACGACGAAAATTATTGTTTGTAAACTTCACTGCTGTGTAGATAATTAAAGCTAGACTTTTTAAAAATTATTTTAAAATTCGTAGTGTTAGACCCCTTAAGTTCAATTTATCATAGTTTGAGACCCCTTAAGTTCAATTTATCATAGTTTGAGACCACTTAAGTTCAATTTATCATAGTTTGAGACCCCTTAAGTTCAATTTTGCATAGTTTAATACCCTTTAAGTTCAATTTTTTGAAATTCATAGAGTTTGCCTTTAAAATCATATTTCCTGATCAACTTTTGACGACCATACTGCAAACATTTGTTGCTCTCAAATTAAAAATGAACCAAATTTTTTATAGTTCAACAAATGTTATCTCTGCGGCTGTATATTATTCACCCATATTTAAATTTGAAATAAAAAAATACTCAAAAAAGCTCAAGACTCTTTCGGTCAATTGTTCGAAGAAATTTGATCAGATGGTCGCTATTTTTACTTCATTTAATACTGTAACATCAGCTCAAGTGTCTCTTTTTTTTGTGTTGTTATTATTATTTTTATTGTGTTACAATCGATGTGGAAATCAACCCTATTCACACTCATCAGTTTCTTTTCCTATTCGTCACACGCCCTCGAGCACACAAGAGGAGCTGAATAGATAGATAGATGTATATCTTCCAAAAACAACAATCAACTTATATTTTTGCGCTCAATTAAAGCTAGATAATGAGAGGAGCTATTGTTGTGGGAGAGAAGTAAAAAATTTCGATGACAAACTACCCAAAATATAGCTTTTCATCACCATTCATATTCACAATTTCCATCAACATCATTATAAAGTATAATAACGCGTGTGCATGAGGGGGATTATGGAAAATTTTAATTTACAATGGGACAATAGATTTAAAATTATTTTCACTTCAACAAAATTGAGGTTTTAATATTTGCGTGAAGTTTTTCCATTCATACGACACATATTAAAATTTATATTTTATTTATGACACGAGAACATAACTGTAATCTGGTGCTTTCATCACCATATATTTAAAAATTAAGCTCATTTCAAACATAAATCATTCAATTATGCTCGTTCATTATTATTACTATAATTGTATTGATTCTCAATTCAGAAAATTATGATGGCAATAATTGGATGTGATTTTGTTGGAGATGGTTAACACCTTCACACCACTTGATCACCATTCAAATATAAAAGAATTATTATAAATCATTACTATTGCTCCACACAAGAAAGTTTTCGTGGCTTTTTATAAAATAAGAAGGTTTACAGCTTGCATTTTGGGGATTTTGAACTATTCTTTAAAGCATTTTGATTTTAGAAGTGGATTGATGCATTCTTAATACTTTTATTCGTAGATATAGCAACAAAGTAGTGATTTTTAATCTTAATTCAATCCAAACCAACATAATTTAGCTGTATTTTGGCTGATTCAGCTCGTTTTCAAACTTTTCAGCAGAATTAAGCTTTGAAAGCTCTCATTCAGCATAAACACAACATTTCAACAATATTCAGTTTAACTTAGCTGAATTCAGCATTATTCTTTCGAATCCAACTCAAGTTCAGCATCATTAAGCTTAATTCAGCTCATCTTAGTTAAATTCAGCAACATTTGTAAACTTTGTTATCAAATGTCTTTCCTTACTGAAGTTAATCAGTATTAAAATCAAATTTTATTAATTCAACTGCATCCAAAATGCGTCATCATCCACCGATACCCAAAATCTATTTAATTCTCCTGCTCAAACTAGATTTACAAATTAAAGCCAATGAAACTTGATATTTTTACCAAACTAATGTGTGGTTTTGACTTCTTTACATCTTTATTTGTACATCCAGTGCGTATGAATATTGACACAACAAATTCCATCTTTAGTTTGTTTAAACTTTTTTTTTCTTGTCTCTTCTTCCTTTCTTTTCATTCTTGCTCTTAGTGTTACGTGCATCTATTCCTTTGTATAGGAATAAATCAGATCAAATTTCATTGAATGTATCAGCAATCAAGTGCCAATTCAAACAAATGTGCTAAAAGTCCACAACAAAATGATTTTTGATATCAAATTTCATTCCTGACTAGATATCTTGAAGAATTTGTCTGGTCGTTGTGGAATGCACGACATAAGAATTTATTTACACTTATCATAGGTTTTATTTTGTAGGTATCAGTAGCATAGAAGCAAGCACTTGAGATTCTAAAAATTGTGAAATGTTAATATCTGTCTTACACTATTAAGTGCACTAAAATTTTTGGATCTGCCATGTGATGTTAAAAGACTTTATTCAATAAAAATCTCATTAAAAATTATTATTATTTTTTACAAATGGAATTATGCACTTCAATAACTTTTTTATTTTATATTTTATAGTATAAGTTGGGATGTAAAAATGACAATTGTATGGAATCATAGAGCATACGAAATAAAAAATCATAGCTGGAGAATAAGAAAGAGAAATAAAAAAAAATTGTATACAGCATACATCCGTTAAGGGTGGATTTATTAACAAAAGAGTATAAAAAACAGAGATAGGAAAGAATTTTTAACCCGAATTGCAAAGAGCAAATGAAATATGTTGAAAAAACATAAAAAACCACCCACTTGAGAATTCACTAAACCGCAAATCGTTATATTTCAATGTAAAATCAACAGCAGCAGCATTGGATAGTAGCAGCAAAGAGCAGCTTTTCATTTACTGAATGGAACACACGTAAAGAGTATAATTTTTTTATCGGTGCTAACTGTACTGAAAAAACTGGATATCTCTCATTCTCTCTTCATAAATTATTACTATTATTTAGTTATTGCATTCAAAAAGAATTTTTCATCATCATTCAAAAGAGCATAAAATGAGAAACTATGAAAGGAATGCATGCATGCATACTTGCGCTTTATTTCAATTTTATGTTACTTTTTAAATGAGAGAGATTTTATGAAGTGCTAATTATGAATCATGTGCTGATAAAGCTTCAAATTTGCTTCAATTGTTTTTAAACAGTTTAGAAGGATTACTGGAAATTGAACTTTTTTAACGGAAAATTTGAATTTGAATTTCATAAACTCAAACATTTTTACTGAACTTTAGTAAACTGTTGATTTGTTAAAATTAAGCAGAAAACTTATTTGATTACCAGGAATCTCGTCATTAAATAGAGATGTATCTTACAGACTTAGTATTCAACATTATTACAACAACAGTAAGCATCAAGAACTGCATTTCTAGCAAAGAAATCGCATAAAATTTATTCCACAGAACATTTTAAGGCTGAAGTGTACTTGAGGGGGGGGGGGTGCAATATATGAAATTTTTTAATTCTAACGTAGGACTGTAATGATCCCTTAGACAAAATGTCCGAAAATACTGATAGTATTTCTGCATTCAAAACATAAAAAATGCAAAAAAATACTTAAACTTAAAAATTTGCAAAAATTCCAAAAAAATTTTGTCAAATTTTACTCCTCAAAATCACTCAAATTAACTATTTTACCATTTTCTACACATTTACAGCATTTAAAACTTAAAAAAATAATAAATTTTTTTTTCATATAATGACCCCCCCCCCCCCCTAAAGTACACTTTTACCCATTTTAAAGAAAAATTATATCAAACTTTAACTCAAATGGTAAACATTGAAAAGCATTTTTTTTTTATCTTCGAGTCAGTCACAATGTATAGCTCCAGAATGGATGATTCACGATGAAAAGTCAAAATGGAGAGCAGAGAAAAAATATTGCGATTAAATTTCAACATTTATTTTTTCATCCTATTCATAGGATATGCTTTTCAAATCTTATGTATTGGGGGAAGCACATAAAAAAATGAAAACAATAAAAAAAATCCTCGCTAGGTACACAAAAACGAATTAGAGAAAATCCGGAAAAATATTTGCAGATCGCTTTCAATAAAATTTACATTTCCATTAATGCCGAATTTGCGATAAATTTTGTGTATACAAACAAAAATGGCATGAGGCAGCAGCCATCAACAGTCGATAAAAAATCATTTATGATGAAAATGCAAATAAAATCAAAGATTAAATAGAAATTTTTATCCCCAATGCCGCATATTGATTTTTTCTCATTTTCTTCCATTTCCACAACATCAAAACCTTTTTCCTCCATTCTTTACATTCAATCGATTGCATTTGCAGCAGCATTGCAACACAAGAGAGCCTTCACCTTTCGAGATTCTTTTGAATTTAAATTCTATGAAATAAAAATTACATTCGAGAGCTTTGGCGCTTTTAAAGTACACAATTTTCAATTGCAATTCATGCAGAAACGAGGAAAAGGAAAAGTTTGGTCTAGTTAAGGCAAGGAGTGAGTTTTGCGGCTTTAATTTGTGAGAAACTTTTCAATGAATTGTAGTGTTGATTTTTGGAAGTTAGACTTGATTGAATGGTCAGTACAATAGTTTTATAATCTAGTTAACCATAGCGTCTATAGACAAAGACTAAATTTACAGCACAACACTTCCAATTTTTGTGAAAACTTTGTCTTGATAGATTTTTGGGGATTTTTCGCAGTGCTATTGAATCATCAAAACTATAGAAAATATAAACAATAAGCAATACTCACTGGCAAATCGTGGATCATTGGCAGTTGAACCATACCAACTTGCTGAATTTCTCATATCTGTGTAGTGTCCAGCAAGTGATAAATTATCAGATGGCGTGCAATAGCTTTGAACACCGGGACTGTGATAAAGTGGCCCCATTGCGTACGGATTAGCCATATTATTTATATTACCACTATTTCCTAATGCACTTGGCGAATTTACACTAGATCCGCTTGAATTTGATCTGTAAGAAATTTTTTCATTTTCATCAATTTTAATAATTTTAAAACTTTAATTTTTTTTTTGTGAAAAATTTAAAAATGTAAAAAACAAATTATTAAAATATTCTAATTTTTGGGGTAATGCGCACCTTACAGATTGACAATCAGCGTACCTGTAAGGCGATGGCGGATTTAATTCCAGTTTGCGATATTCTTCAATTGGACTCAAAATGTCAGTAACCGAAAACGGCGTTGAATGATTAATATTATGTAATGAATTTTGTTGAAGTGTCTGTAAGTGTTGTAAATGCTGATTAGTTTTTGGCGATAGGCTCATAACCAGATCAACGCCATTTAAGTCAGGTAATAGGCCTTGCTCAGTATCGGGATCGTCTGGAAAGTTTCCAGCGTTGGCTGTCAGTGTGGCTGACATGAACAGTTGATGAGACGTTTTTAATTCAAATTTTTGCTGCTTTTTTTTCAAACTTTGCAATTTATTTAACTTTTATAGATTTTTTAAGGTTATGTTTTGTCACTGAATTTAATTAACACTCTTATTCATAATATATCTATATTTTTTAAACTTTAAATTATCCTTAATTGGCATCAGTTTAATACAATCCACTTATTTTATTTTCTTACACGAAAAAAAAAATCCAAGTACAACTTATATATCACATCCTCATCATGTGGATTATCATGTTTCTATTTTTTTGTCCTTTTTTTAATTGTCAATTTTCATTATCACTGCTTCATCTTAGAATTGATTCGCGGATTGATTAAAAAAATTGTCACTTTCTTGAGACTTGAAGTCCGCGCGCGGTTTGTTATATTATTGAAAAATAATAATAAAAAACTATATATTGCGAGAGAGAAAGAAAAATAACCACTCGACACGAATTTCAAAAGTGAAATAAGAGGTATTCTCATCGAGCAATAAGTGCCCAGGCTGGCTTGTGATTTTTTTTTCTTCTTCTCCTTTATTTTTATTATTTTTTACTTCCCTCAAAACACGTATACAGTCGAGAATGAGATGTGAATGATGTGTGTAGTATGGTACACACAATCGCTTTAACACGGCAACTGTACAGTCTATGAAGACATAACGGGGTGTAAAGTATGTGTGAGTGTGTGGCATTTTTATCCAATAGACGAGAGCTTTTGCATGTTTTATTTTACGTTGCTTCGCATGATTTATGATATTTTATGTCTGACGCTTATACAAGCTCCTCCCATTTCTCTATCCAATCGTGTGCCAGTTGATGATGATTGCTGATTATTTTTTTAATGATTTCTGCCATCATTTTCATCTGTAATATATTTTTTTTAAACAGTCAATGCTCACAGCAGTTGTGATGAAAATAGCATATTTTTTTTGTATTTTCTATAGACGCAGGACTGCACATCGTCGTCATCTGCTCACCTTTGTGAATTTAACGAACTTTTTTTTTATTTGCCATCATCAATGTCATCGTCATTGCTACTGACGGCTGTTTTTATAATTGTGACAGTGAACCGAAAAATTGCACACCAATTCTTATCACAATCATCATCTTCAATGCCTTCAATAGCTGTTTATTATTTGAGAATGGAATTATGTGTATGTATATAAAAAATGAGAGTCTACAAGGTGATTTCGAGGAGGATAATAAAACATCTCAAAATGATACTTGAAAATCTTTTATGATGATGCTTGCTTGGCTTCATCTCATCTCTCCCTTTTTTTTTTTTATTCCACAACAGTTTCCAATTGAATGTAGGAAAAAGTAAGGAAGATAAAATAATAAAAACTGAAAAGAGAGAGAAAAGTGTTGAAGTTTTTTTTAGCGAGGATTTTATAGTCGGATTGTAAGTGCGTCTCGCATTTTGACTTTTTAGCAATAAATGTCTCTCTGGTCATATTTGTTGAGTCTTTTGGCTTTGTTTGATGGTCTTACGGGTTGTTCTATTGTAAGGTTCTTCAGAAGTCCTCACAAAATTTACATATTTAAATATGCTGATTGCTGGATTCGCTGAACTTGTTGCTGAATTCGCTGAATTGGTTGTTGTATATCCTGAATTCGCTGAATTGGCTGTTGTTATTCCTGAATTCGCTAAGTTTATTGCTGAATTGGGCTGAATTACACTCAATGAAGCTGAGTTGTACAATTTTTAAAACCTTTGCGACCGTTAAAATTTTAAAATTGAATAAATCGTTAATTTTTTGCGCAAGAAATTTAAATTCAATCTGACTGCGCTCCCAAAATTCAATTCAACAGCCAAACTTTTTCCCTATTAACTTCATGAGGAATCATCATTACATTTTCTTCTTAGCTTACAAGGAAAGAAGATGATGATCATTATGATGGTGTGAAGTATTGCACCATGTTGAATTGAACAAGATGTTTGACTTGACCACTTCAAGATACTTTAGGCAGTATGGCTGATTAATTAGCCGTGAAATTATAATTAACTAGAATATTATTATATCTTGTGATTCCTCAAGGATCACTTTTCTTGCAATTTCTTGAAATTCTCGCATGGCTGAACTGGAAGTTTTTTGAGTGAATGGCACCTAATTGCAATTATTTTCAAGATATCACATACAGAAATTAACAAGTAAATGGCTAATTTTCATCGTCACATGAGCGAATGTAAAACAGATTTTAAAGCATCCAGTGAGAAAAAAAAAGGTTTTTATCGCATAAAAGAATCGTTGGAAGTGCTCTCAACAAGGCACAACTGAAATAAATAATAGAAAAAGAATGAGAAAAGGAATAGGTATCATAAATGAGAATGAAGAGCTTTTCAAGTAACGTAAAATGATTCGAATGAGGAAGAAACTAGTTTTTATATGTCAGCACACGTGTGTTTGGGGGGGGGGGGGGGGTGGGGTGGGTTTTTTGTACAGAAAAATTCAAGGACCATTCGCATTATTCATGATATTTTTATCCTAATTTTCTGGTCAAGCGCAAGCCCCCCTTCCGTCCTAGCTCATCACCAATGCCTCATACTTTGGATAAATAAACCTTATTAACAGTCTAGAATTGAAAGAACTGCAATATGAGATGCATTAGTGTACTTGTTCCATTACCCACCCACTTTAGTTTTCAAAGAAAATTAGCAAATAACTTGTGATGCATGCTGTACTCATAATTAGTCTTTTATCAGTATATATGCAATATATTTGTGCAAAACACGTGGAATGAATAGAGCTGTGAAAAAACTTTTTCTTTTCAATGGGCTTGAGCTTTTCACAATTTTTTTTTTCATCTCCTCCTGCTGCCTGCTGCCTTCTTTTATACTGAAGTGCGCTAAAGAATTTTCCTTTTGTAGCACTCGAAAAGCCACAAGCTTTTTTTTTTATATTGCATTGGAAAAAAAATTATTGAGCAAAAGGCAGAGCATGAAAATACCATAGAAAAGCACTTACAGTCAATTGTATTTCATTCTGAAAGCAATTAAAAAATTATTTAATTAAAAACAATACTAGAATTGAGGTGTTTTTCTCGAGTGTAGTTTTGTTTGAAACTTTCTCCATCGGCAATTGTTTTTCCTTCTGTGGTGGTCGGTCGATGCCAATGGGATTTATATGTTTCCACTGTTCTGTTATTAGCTTTTGAAAAGCAACTTGAGAAGATTAATTTTTGTAACGATATTTTAAGATTTGAGTTTGAATTTGCCTTCAATTTGCCAAAATATTTTCGACAGTTTAAATTTAAATCTAAAAAATACGTTAAACTGAGCAATTAAAAATTGTCTCAACTCAATTGACTATCCATAAATTAGTTTCAGTCTGAGATAATTAGCTTAAAATATATTTTTTCAAAATGATTTTTTTTCCTTACTTCACAATTGTCCGTATAATGAAGTGTCTTGCGTAATCAAAACTTAAGCAATGAGAAGCATTTTCTTATTATTTGCATTAATCTTCAACACCTAATGATGATGATTTTTTTTTGCGAATGATTTTTGTACATGCTGTTTACTTAGCTTTTAACGTCACTCACTCTTTATAAAAACTTTGTCTATTAACGATTCGCGTTTGAAGAAATAAAAAAAATAAGTCTTTTTTTACATCCTGAATTACATTCTGAATGCTTATTTTATTCCTTGGATTTTTAAAAAATAAAAGTTCCATTATCTTTTTTTGATGCTAGCGAAAGTGATTTAATTTAGCAGCATGAAAGAAAGGAAAAATCTAATAAAATACAGAATGGAAATGACGACGAGTGTTGAATAAACAAAAATTAGACAGCATAGAAAGAGATGAGATCCCAAGAAAAATGGTACAATGCAATTCACAGGAAACTCTCTTTACGTTCTATTCCATTTCATTTAGACCAGGTAGGTAGAGATTTTAGATAGCTCATAATAAAAATGAGTTTCTCAATTGTACATGAACCTATAATTTCATCCACTTCAGATTCTCTATTTGCTTCTCTCTTTCTCTGTGTTTTTACAAAAATTCTTTGGCATCATTTTTGGGGATGTTTGTGATCTGTCTTGTCATTTTGTCTCATTTGAAATTGTTTCCAAGAGTTAAGAATATTTTTGAAATTCAACTGTCGTTTAAAATTTGAATTCAAGCTACAACTTTCGTTCAGTAATCCATCTTCATTTCATTTCAGTTCAAAAAATTTGAATTTTAAAAATCCGTTGAAAATGAATTTAAATTCAGAATTTCAAGACATGCTTTAAAAATGCGCCATATCTTACAATTCCCCAAGTCAGTCCATAGCCGTCTGTAAAAAAAAGTAAACAGTAAACATAAAAAGCAGTTAACATCAAAATCAGAAGTTCAAGAAGCATAAACATATTTAATTCAAATCCAATAATGTTGCCATGACATGATGATTGTATGAATCTGTACACAACATACTATTATGAATATATATTTTTGTTTGTTGCTACTGATTGATATCGTACTGTGATAAGTGGTCTTTAAAATCTACACACATTCAGATTATTCATTATCCTTTTTAGGCATGTAAAGAATGATTAAGTACTTATTTATACATTAATTTATCAAGTGAGGATCCTTTCTAAAATGTCATTTATGTGAGAACGCCCACGACTCATTGTTCTCGACTCTCCTGAAATAGATTTTATGAGTTTTGACAGGAATCAAGGCTCAATTACTTTTGCATAAAATTATTTATTTTTTTCACTTCTTCATAATCATAATAAATTATAATTTATTGCAAAATATGGCATAGATTAATTAATACAGAATGCATGACACATTTAATAATATTGATGCAAAATATAGTAATAACAAGACATTGTAAATTTAATAATTATTGGTACCAAAACAACGATTTTAACAAGGGGCCGTTCACTTATTACGTTCGCATTTTAGGGGGAAGGGGGGGTTTGAAAAATTGTAACATAATGTAACATAGGGGGAGGGGGGGGGGAATTTTTTTTTAAATTTTCCACCTTTTTATCAAAATAAAATAAATTATGAACGTTCAGGGGGGGGGGGGGGGTGTGAGTTGTAACATATTGTAACAAGGGGGGAGGGGGGGGGGGGGGGTGAAAAAAGCGTAACGTAATAAGTGAACGGCCCCCAAGAATCTTTGATTGAATTTTTCAGAACTTATAAACAGGCATGAGGAGCAATGATTCAAACATGCTTCCAATGGCACGTGATCAAAAACTGTTGTACGGTTCTGAAACATTCAAATTTCAAAAGTTCGTTAAATTTTTAAATTTTAAAAGTCCGTTTAATCAAATTTTTTGTAGTATTAACTTAATTAAATTAACACTTTAATAGCTTCTTATAATGAGTCGCATTGGCAACAGCCTTAACATGCTAGAATGTAATGTTTTTGATTTAAAAATAATAATCTCATGGCTTCAAATAAAGTAAATTAAAAGAGATTCCTAAATTTAGATATAATTTCAGTTCTTTTTAGAGAAATATGAATATCCTTGAAATAAGGTTTATAAAAGTAATATAATTAAACGAAAAACTTTCATATTATTTTACTTCTTCTATTCACACACACAACACATTTGACGTTACGTTAGAATCACATTTTTTTGCTAGTTAAATAGTTAGACAACAGTAGTAATTTTATGTATAATTAATAAATTTCAAATAATTATGATTGTTCATTGTATAACGATTATAATGACGATGATATGATTGAAATTGTATAATGTGGGGCAGGGGAGGTTGTGATAATTCAAGATATTTAAGTTCTGCTGAGAGATTGTGAGCGATTTAGGGTAAATAGATTAATCTTTTCTTCCTGCTTGAAATACTTTTTCCTTCATTTTGTGTGTGTGTTCAGGTAACGGTAAGTTCTATTATTTTTTTTTTCATCTGGTTTTCGAGGATACTACCACTGACATTCTGATGATGATAAAACATGAATATGCATGATCACATTTTCGTGTTAAATTCAATTCTTATTTTGACATGAAATGGGCATTTATGAGATCAAGATTATCAACTTGTTTCGATGTTTTTGTTTCCAAAAAAATGAAGTTTTTGGAGTGGACTTAATAGCTTCTAATCTATTTTAGCCGTTACATTTCAAATTTGTTCGTTTCGTTTCAGTTCAAATTCGAATATTCAAGAACCGTTAAAATTTGAATTCTAGAAAACTGTTTAATTTTGAATTTTAAAAAGTTTTTAAATTCCACTCCAAATTATTTAAAATTTTCCGATAATATTCCTTTCGGCTTTATAAATTTATCTCAAAATCTGTGCTAAATACTTTTTTTCATGTTAAATTTGCTTCTACTTAAAAATATGTGCCCGTAATTTTACTATTAATAATGCTTTAAATTTCATGACTATCAATATTGTCTACGATTTCATTATTTAAAATAATCAATAGGATTCTTTTTTTTTGCTTTTCATAAATACATATTCACACATTTTTGTGAGATGTATGGAATGATATAATGTCTATAGATCACAATTAAGGGGACTATAAATGCTTTGAGAAAGCGAAAATGAGACATAATTAATACAGACGTACGTACATAATATTCAAAAAACACATTTAATCTAAAAATAGTTTCTATGAGCTTGATGCAGAGTTTCCAGTGATTTTAGAATGGCGAGCATTAAAAGCTAAAACTTTGTCCGGAATTGAATTCCGTTCTAATGGAACTAGCGTATACAATTCCTCTAAACTCGGTACATAAACCATTTTACGCCAAAACTTTGCACTTATAAATGGTCGTGTCATCCAAATTAATGATTTTAACCAAAATGTTGGATGAACAATATAACAACTTTTTAACGACTTCCTCAGGCGACGATCAAGCAACTGATAACATTTCTTGAGCCATGGAAATGGTGGTGAATTTTTGCGATTTGAGGCACCGTGTAGATAAACTAAGACATAATCATCCGTTACGAGTTGCTCTAATGTTTTTATAACGTAATAAAACAGATTATTCATCACATAGTTGTAATCCTTTCGTGAACGATCCGGAAGATGACAAGCACTAAAAACTACTATTGCGTTGTGTCCACCAGCTTTCAAGTATCCTCCATGCGATAGGATTCTCTTGTAGGGCTCGATTACCTGGATTTGGGAATTAAAAAAGGGTTTTCAGAATTAATCCTTTGGATTAAAACTAATTAGATTTAAGTTAAATCCCAGATTTATTAAATACATGTCTCCGTACCTTCATATCAATCTCTCGAGTCTTTCCATCAGGCAGCGTGATACACTGAAAATTTCTTACATTTTTACTCTCCTCAACAGCTGTATATTCCGGTATGCGTGCACAATTAGCAGAATTTAAATATGGTTTGCAAAAATTTTTCACCACATCAAGTAAATTACCGTTCATTTGAGACTTATGATCACTAGAATTATTCATATGAAGTGCATCGTCATCAAAATCATCGAAAAAATCATCATTTTTGTAACTTGGTTCTTCTGGCGACGAGTCATCAGCTCGTCTAGTAGCTGTATCTACTTTTAGGCTATCCGATAATGGAACTTTTCTTCTGCTGTTACTCTCAATGTCTAAATGAAGGAATTTTGGTGATGATGACGACTGTTGGAGACGAATTAGTGATGGAGGTTGTTGCTGTCCTGTATTTGTATGGACTAAAGTCACTTTGTCGAATGATGGACATACTTCTGCTTGATATTGAGAAACGTCTGGCTCGGAATCGCTTTTGAAGTCGTAAAGATCCTAAATTAGAATATTGAAATTTTAGCGGATTTTTAAATTCAAAAATTTAAAGTAGTGAAATGCAAATAAATTTAAAATCAGGCTAGTTAATTAATATTTTTATTTAAGGAAGTTAATTAATGTGAACAATTTCTAGTTAAAATTAATGTCTTTTGTTTCCATTTATTCGATATTGCACAGAAGAAAATTCCATTATTTGCTCCATTAGCTGCTACCGAACTCGTCCATCCATTTCTCATATCGCTGCAAATCTTGTTTACTGACACTCTTGTTGCATTTTCCAACAGCGTCCATAAAGTCCACAAGAGTGACTGGCAAGTCAACTTCATCCTTTGCTAGCTGTTTAATCTGTTCTGGCTTTAATCCAATGATTTTTTTACGGAGTGACATCATAGCTGCATCGCGGCAAACATTTGTAATATCTGCTCCTGAATATCCTTTTAATTTATGTGCAATGACTTCCAAATCAACTGTATCGTCAATTTTTACTTCTCTTAAATTGATTTTTAATAAAGCAACTCGACCTGAAAAATAACGGTTGAAATTTATTTGAATGAAATATCGACGAAAAAATTCAAACTTTAAAAATACGTTAGAAATTTAAATTTTAAAACACTTTGGTCTAATTCATTCTGTACCTTCATTATTGGGCAATGGGATGTAAATTCTCTTCTCCAAACGTCTACGTAAGGCTTCATCAATTTCCCATGGAAAATTAGTAGCTGCAAGCACCATTACGACTTTTTCTTCTGTATTAACGCCATCCATTTGAACAAGCAATTCCGATTTGACTCTTCTAGATGCTTCATGCTCAGTTGCACCTCCTCTCATCGAACATAAAGAGTCAATTTCATCTATAAAAATTGTAGACGGTGCATAAAATCGTGCCATTTCAAAAAGTAATCGAACTAGCTTTTCAGATTCTCCTCGATATTTGCTTGTTAATGTGCTGGATGATACGTTAAAAAAGGTAGTGCCGCATTCAGTGGCTACTGCTTTTGCCAACATTGTCTTTCCTGTTCCAGGCTATAATTTATTAATCAAATAAGTTCCTTGAAAATTAAAAATCAAACAATTAGTATACTTACTGGTCCAACCATCAACACACCTTTCCATGGTCTTCGAATGCCTTTAAAGTAATCAGGCATCCACATAGGCAAGACAACAGCTTCTTCTAAAAGCCTTTTAGCTTCATGCAAGTCAGCAATATCTTCCCAATGAATATTCGGATTCTTTTGTAAAATGTCTCGTTCAAGCATGTCAACTAAATCAACGTCAGCATGTGATGAAGGCTCAAATTTCTTGTCTGGTTCCTCTTGACCTTGATCATCATCTTGCTCGTCTTCCTTTTTGTCATTTTTATCGCCATCTTTGCCTGCTGCTGACGAAATAGCTCTACGTCCTGAAGCTTTTGCATTTCCAACTCTTCCTTTTACTTCCGGTGGCATTTGACGACCTTTACTGCTTGTTGGCTTACTTCCTCCTTTCTTATTCACTTCCGCTTTCTTTGCAGTCTTACTGTATTTGCTAAAATTATTAATTATAATTAATAAATTGATATAGTTCATTAAGTTAATCATGTACCTTGGAGCAGGAGGCGGTGACCATCGGTCTGGATCATGATATTGTCTCTGTTCATTAACTTTTGGAGTTCCGAACCAGAAAGAGTCTTTGGTCGGTGAATCTGTGTTCATGTATTGATTTGAGGCAGGTGGTGGATGATAATTAACTGATGATTTTTGAACTGGCATGTTCTGAATATCCATTGTAATTCCAGTCAATGTCTTTTGAAGTTCCTTGAGTTTTGTGGATTCCTTAATTAGCTGTTGCTGTATTAATGTGTATTTTCCTCGTTTAGTCGTATCCATACATCCAATAATTAGCTTCTGTATCATTTCCAAGACTGTCTCATAATAAATGCCAGATGAATCATAATTGCCACTTATTGCCATGTCTCGGGCAAGCTTAACATTCGATGACAGCTCGGTTAATGACATTCTTTGTTTTGGTTCTCAACTTTTTTCTCTCAACCAGATTGATTTTTAAATCAGTTTTTAACACAAATACAGATGAAAGCTTAGTTATTTTAATGGTAAAACTATGAAAGGGCACTTAAATTGTCATTTAGACTATTATTTTTTTAAGGAGCACTTTTAAAACTAGTCAAATTTAATTTTTTAAAATTATTTTCACTCACACACATTAAAACTAGTAAAGATATGGTCACTCGCGACTGACAGAAGTGCATTTAAATTCGAGGAAGTAGAAAATTTAAAAACCTTTAAATTTAAAGTAAAAGTTCAAAAATATTTGAATAATAACGATCGAAAAATGTTTGAAATGGATCAAAAATTTGTCGGACAGACTGATAAAATTAAGGTAAAATAATTTGAAATAATGGCTAATTCCGAGCAAACTGAATCTTTTTTAAATCGCCCAACTGCCATTACCTGAGAGGAACGATTTTAATTTAAATTCCGAATATTCGAAAATTGATGAAACCAAAATTACTGCTGGATCATAGATCCAGAAAATAATTTTTATACAAAAGCTGATTAATACTCACTGGGCTCGGCTCACGGTACTTGATTCTTTGACTTCTTTCGCCATTATTATTTACAGAATTCACTAAATCATTGGTCGTCTTTGTCTGACTTGTTGTTGTCGTCGTCGTTAGATGATTTGATGACAGCTGATTATTACTATTATGTGTCATTAATACAACATCCGGAAAGTTCCTATTATTGGAATTGCTAAAACTAGAAGAATCTTCAGAATCATCATCAAAACATTCGAGTAGTGGATGATGTGTAACTGGTGTTAATTTCATTTGTTGATCATTACTGGAACTACTCAGACTTAGAGTATTTCTATTCTCATTATCGTCCTGCTTTTTGGACGTTGTAACATTCAAATTTAAAGAATTAAAACCCGAAGAAATTTTCTCTAAATTATTTTCACTACTTTTCACTATATTAAGTTCGCTATCTGTTTGATTTGTTGGTGATATGGACGATGTGTCTGTTGTACAATTCTCTGATACATCCATTTGTTGATAATCTGGAGAATTCGCTTGATTATCCATTTATTAAATATTACTAAAATTAAATTTCTTTTATTTTTTATTGTGTACGAAAAAAATATCTAATCCTGAATCAGTGATTTGTAGTAAGGACACTGCTAGTTTCATTCCGAAAGGAAAATTCTATTGTCTACTTCTGCTATTTGGCACTAGATGGTGCTACTTTATGTTTTGTTTCAGTATTTATAACTGACAATTTACCAGTTATTTTTTATTTGAATTATTTAATCTAAGCGAATTCAAAGCTTGCATTGGGCAAATTTAAATTCGAAAAAAGTCGTTGATCGAGTACCACGTGACACATTTGAGTCACATGTTCCAATTTCAAATTAAGTTTCTTTAATTTTTTGCAAAAATTAATTCATAGCTACAACATCTTTAATCCATGATTCGATCCAAAAAGCAGAAACTATTATGTACCTGAATCAAAGATTAGTAATTAAATATTTATATATCTGAAATTCTGACTATAGCTGTTGACATACGAATCAGTTGATATAATTAATCTAAAGTGAACATAAGCCTCTTAAAATAAATTAACTTAAAGTTAACCAGATCACATTCTAGATCAATAATTCACAAATTCTACCCGCACATTTTCAAAAGTTAAAAGCGCCTTCAAGCAACAACTCCATACGTGCAGCATATAAATCGCAAAATCTAGTTCCATCATTCATCGCCAGAGCTCGCAAAGTAGAATAACAAAAGATGAACGGTGGAAAATTGTTAATTTTGTTTTTATATTTTATAAGTTCCAATGCAAATTCAATACACAGACGATTTGAGTATAAATACTCATTTAAGCCACCATATTTAGCACAAAAGGATTCGACAGTACCGTTTTTTGAAGTCGGAGGAAGTAAGTAGATTTTTTTTTGCAAATCCTCTTGCCAAATATTGTTATTTATAACTCAATTCTGATGATGTAATTAAATCAAATTTGATAAGGACACAAAAGTTAATCATGCCTTATCAGAAATCATTAAAGTCAATTCCGGTTTCATTGAAAATTCAACAGTTTTTCATAAATCCGACGACGACTTTTAAAACATTCCACGTCATGAATTTTTTTTCTTCTCTCAGTTCCATAATATGTCAAGGCATTGATTTCTCACAAAAATCTCTTTCGATGTCTTACTTGTTATTTCTTATCAAGTTATGTCAAAAACGTGTTACTAGCTACGACTACAAATTATTTTAATGCTCCACATTAATTAAATTGCTTACCAAACTATAACATTTATGCTTTAATTTTTAGATGCTATTGCCTCGTCTGAAAGTATTCGTGTAGCACCATCATTAAGATCGCAAAAAGGTGCTGTATGGACGAAAGCAAAGACAAGCTTTGACTGGTGGGAAGTTGATATTGCATTTAGAATATCCGGTCGTGGACGAATTGGTGCTGATGGTTTAGCTTTTTGGTATACAACTGAGAAAGGCGATTATAATGGAGAAGTTTTTGGAGCATCTGATAGATGGAATGGTCTTGGATTATTCTTTGACTCATTTGATAATGATAATAAGCATAATAATCCATACATTATGGCTGTAATTAATGATGGCAACAGAAAGTTTGATCATCAAAATGATGGAATTAATCAAGCACTTGCTGGATGTTTAAGAGATTTCCGTAACAAGCCTTTCCCAACTCGTGCAAAGATTGAATATTATAATAATGTTCTTACTGTCTTGTTCCATAGTGGAATGACAAATAATGAACAAGATTATGAGATGTGTTTGAGAGCAGAAAATGTTGTACTTCCAAAATTCGGTTACTTTGGAGTCTCAGCTGCAACAGGTGGCTTAGCTGATGATCATGATGTTTTCCATCTTTTAACTACATCATTATGGGCACCAGGAACACTCGATGCTATTGGTCAAGTTCCACAACAAGACAGTGACAAGATCTCACAAGAGTACCAAGAATATCAACAAAAATTGGAAAAGCAAAAAGAAGAATATAAGAAGGAACATCCAGAAGAACAAAAAGATGATATGGAGGATTGGTTCGAGTCTGATAATCAACGTGAATTAAGACAAATTTGGCAAGCACAGACACAAACAGCTGAGATCCTTAGAGAATTATCAAAGAAATTAGATGAAGTACTCGGACGTCAAGAAAGAACTTTAAGCTTAATATCGGTATCGGCAAATCAGATTCAAACGGGAGGAGCACAACAACAGCCAGGACAACAACCACCAGTTTTTACAGGCGATACAATAAGACGACAGGAAGTTGATAATATAATTAATACACAAAATATTTTAGTACAATCAATTCGTGATTTAAAGACTCAAGCTAATGACTTGAATCAAAGAGTTGAGATGCTTATTACTAATCAGAAGCAAGGTGGTTCACAAGGCGGTGGATATGACATTCAAGGACTAATTACTGAAATGCGTGATGGATTGAATCAAGTCAAATTATCAGTACATGGTGTTCAATCAAAAATTAATCAACCTTTACCGTTGTCATCATGTCCAGATGCAAAATGCTTAGGAATGACACCATTCTTGATTGCCATCGTTGTGCATTTACTCATTCTTTTAGGATACAATATGTATAAAGAAGCAAAAGGCAATCAGTCAAAGAAATTCTACTAAAATTAATTGCTGACATTCCATCATTATCGTCTCTGGGATTTGTTCACTAATGACGTCTTTAATTTTTTGGGGGTCTATAAAATATCTTTTTTGTGGAAATTTCGGTCTAAAAAGTTAATTTTATTTTTGACGTTATTTCTGGATAATCCCACGTCTGATTTGTGTTTCGTGCAAAAAATAAGAATCAAACTCCACCTTTATCAAATTGAAATATGAACGCAACAAATTTTTATGATCAATAATTGAAATAATTAATTTAAAAGTCACACAAAGAACAAAAATACCTATTTTAATTAAAAATATTTTAGAATGAATTACTATCGTAATTAGAACAATGCATGTTTTCTACAAAGCTATGTGAGCATTTTTTTGTTTTTATTTTTATTTCGTTGTGTATATATTCAAAAAGTAATACATTGAAGTAATAAATTCCTCGATTAAAAAACCTATGTTACTTAAAATTGTCAAGAAAATTTATTCAGAGGTTTTTTTTTATAAATAAGACAATTCTTGAGTTGTGATTTTAAGGCTCCTAACATACTTTAATGGATATTTCTGTTTCTATAATGAAATTTTTTAAATTTGAAATGTAATAGAACAAGAGTTTTTTGTTTTAGTAAAATTAAACATTGACATGAAAGAATTAAATAATGTGTTTAACGTATTTTTTAATTTGAATTGTTAACGTATGTTTTCAGTTTGAATTTTATGAAATTTATTATTTTTCATCGATTTTTCTTTAAATTTTCTAGATTTTAGCTGGGCCTCGTCACAAAAAAATTGTACGTGAGTTACGCTATGTTTTTCTTGATTATCTCCTTATCCTTAAAAGTGACAAATTTAAGAGTTACTTTTTTAATAAGAGAATTAAAATCTCGATCTATTGTTGTACGATTCACTTCTTGAAACTTTATAGTTACTTAAAAAAACCACTTTAACTAAGCGTCACTCACGTACAATTTTTGGGAATTTTGCTATATATATATATTGTTTATTGATATATCTCCAAATGTATTTTTTTACGTCCTAAATTCAATACTGTTCTTTTTGAGTTTATAAAAAATTTAAAATTGTTGCATTAACATACCTAAATGGACAAAATTAAGTTAAATTTTTTTTAACGGTTTTAGCTTTTTTGAATTTTTTCGGTTGTAGTTTGTTTGTTTACAAACAAAATCGAAAATGAAATTTGAAAAGTCACGAAAATATCATCCAATAATGATGTAAAAGCTCTTAAAATGGGCAAAATAGCTAATGTATCATCTACTTTTCGTAATCATATCATAATATTTGGGATTAATGATTGAATAATTAAGAATTTTGAGAATTTAATTTTTGATGTTTTGTATGATAGTGTTAGTGAAAAATTCAAATTATTTTTTTCCGTTAAGCAAACATCCTCAGAAAAACGTCGAGGCCCAGCTATTCTTTGACTATGCGAGCTTGCCTAAGGATTAAATGCTGAATGTGGAACTTTCTGAGTAAGTTTTAAAAGATTTGAGAAAGTTTCATTCGAAATTTCAGGTTTTGTAGACAGGAATTATTGACCATGAATTACCTATGAAAATTCAAATTTCGACCGACATAGTTATTATTAATTCAAAATTATTTAAGGAACAGCATTTACTTTTTATGATGTACCAGCCTAAACAATCTCAGTTCCAAAGTCTTACAACACCCAAAAACTCATTGATATAAAATCAATTGTGTAATAAAAAGGCACATTTCCAAGTTATAAATTGCGATAACTTTATACATCATTTCCAATCGAGATTCAAATGTCTCCACATTGTCTGTCCATGAAATTGAGTGAAAAACATTTGAAATCTGGTATGCGCGTTGAGCTGCTCTACTATTGGCCTTTACGAGCATGATTACATAATGCTATGTTGCTCTCGTTATCAGTCTTCGACGACAATCCACAATTTGAATTGAAATTTGTCTCCCATCGTTGTGCTGCTCATCTCAATTAAAAACAATTTTTTTTCATGAAGCTAAAATTAAAACTTTAAAATATTGTTGCTAAGAATAGCATGAATATTAAGCGTTGCATTGCTTGGAAAATTGTCAACATGAGAAATATTTAAAGCGATAAGAAAACAAAATAAGTACATCGAGCAGTGAATTGATTTTGGACGTTCGAACAAGTGACTTTCCATGGAAGATGCTCTCAAATCATCTTCTTCTATTCGTGCTCCTTGTGTGCTCGTTGAAACCTGTTGGTAATTAATCCTTTAACATGCCAAAAAATTCAGTTTGTTTATAATATTTTTTTTTGTCAATTCCAGTCACACTTGAAGAAGATTGTGTTGATTATTTTGGAAACATGGGTAAGCATTAAGGTCTAATTTTTATGGAATTAATGAGATTCAAAAATAATTTTTTTAGTGTCACATGGCAACCTTTATATTCCTGGACCTAGTCTATGCTCGTCATGTGTCTGTTATCATTCAAAATCACTTTGGTGTCGCAGTATTTTTTGTGAGCCTCCCTATGTGAGTGAGCTGTTTGATTGTATTAATTGGATGTGCCTTTAATAGCTCTCTTTTTTAGTATTGCAAAAAATTCCGAATCGGAGAGAGATGCTGCGAATATGAATGTCTTGATTCCAAAGAAGAAATAGCCGCTGAAAAAGTAAGTGAATTATTGACTGTCAAAGATTTGTCTTTAATGAGATTTTTTACTTTAATTTTGTGGTTGGGAAAGTTTATCCACTGAGATGTTTATTAAGCAACAAATTATGTAAAAACGAAAAATCAATGAAATAATTTTAATATTTTTGAATGATTGATTCCCGAATTTACATAAGAAATTAATGTGGTAGGTCTGAAGATTGATAGAATTCAATCACGCGGTCAATTTTGGCGCCAAACATTGTTGATCTTGAATTTTTGAGGAATATGATTGTTTCTATCATTGCTTTTGACTCACAGATGATATTTCAGAAGTCACGATTTGATTTTACATCTAATTGACTTTTAATCTTGTTGATTGATACTAAGTTTAAGTTTAAACGTTAAGTTTTCTTAAAACTCTTTTGAAATGTTTCAATTTTTTTAAAGAATATCCTTAAAATCTCTAGAAAAAAATAAAACACGAAGTCAAAAAGTTTTAAAAGATTAGAATTAGAAACAAATAGTTGAAAAGGATTTCAAAAAAGTTGATCAAGTAGTAGCAAAATTAATGAACTCAGAATATTAAAAGTTACAACTAGAATTTAGAATTTACAATTGAAATTAGAATTTAAACATTGCATCAAACTTTAAAATCTAATTTTAAGTAATTTTCAGATTACAAACTTTTAAAAACTCAAAAACAAACACTTTTAACTGAGACTTTGTAATTCAATTGTAAGCATTTTGTTCAGATAGATTCTGTAAAATTCTTCATCAATCATTTCTTTTGAAAACCTCAATTCAACCCTATAATAGATTCCAAATTTTACAATGTATTCCTAATAAAACACAAATCTTTTAATACTTTTAGGAAAGACTTAGAAAACGCCGAAGATTCCTTGGAATATACTTTGAAGCTAGTGATGATGCCGCATTAGCCAAACCACACATGACTCATCTATTAATTAGCATGGCAATTGTATTAAAAGCAATTTAAAATGAAACTTTATAAGCAATTATGTCGTGTTGTAAAAGAATTCTACATATTAATTATTGTTGTAATAAAGCAATGTTAAAAGATTTTATTTTGAAATTAAATAAAAGTTTGTTGAATTTCATAATTTGAAAGTAAGGAGCCGCCATTTTACAGAAGCATCAGCACATTTCCTTTAAAAAGATTGTTTAATGTTTGATTATGCGCGGTAGCATGAACGCGATATCTACAACTGTTTCAGTATTTTATTACACCGAGAGGGTTGTAACAAACAGAAAGCAATTTCCCCAACAGAAGCAGTCAGCAGAAAAAGAAGAAAACCAGTAGGAGGTTAAATGTATCTTTTTCCCAGGCATTAAAATCAGTTTTTAAAGCTTCTATCCACTCACACATAAAAAGGTTCTTATTTTTTCGCAAAATCCGTTTCTCATAAAAAAGATTCTGTATTTTTTGGAGGGGAAATTGCGAGACATAAGAAATAATATCACCATGATGGCGCCAATAACCAACAAAGCTCTTCATTGCTCGCGATAAAAATAAAACTACAAGGCAAATAATAAATTGTTCTGGGCAAGGCACTTTCGTGTGGCAGCATTAAAATCTGCTACGAGATATCACAAGATAGAAATGCTGAGTAAAGTTTTACGACTTTCTGGCGCCAAGAAAAATATGTATATATGGAGGAAAAAAACAATGACACAAGAAATCCTTGCCAAAGAGTTGTAAAGGAGGCTGAGAAAATTTCCCAGATAAATAAAATTTCCATATATGGAGCTAATGATGAATTTACGGCTCCTCTCAATTTTCCTATTTTTTGCCACAATATGACTCGCATACAATTGTTTCCATGAAATTGATCAATGACCTTTTGTGGTCGAAAGATATGCTTTGGCATTAATCCATGTTTTTCTATCTGGGCAAGCAAGAGGAAATTTACTTTCTACAGCAGGCAATAAATTTACTTGGACAACATTGAAGGCCGGATGTTGTTACGCAAGCTAGAATAATTTCTGAATTCTGTTGAAAAAGCTCCGCATTAATTTATTTTCATGTTCCTTACTGAAATAGCACGATGAATAAATATGATTTTACGGATATTAAGCAAATTATGTGCTTTGTAACATTTTTTAATACTCTTAATGTTACGCTTATGATAGTTGCTGGATGTTTTACTAAATTAAGATTTTGAATTGTTTGAGATTTTAATTTTGAACTTTTGAATTTAGTTCATTTTAATAATGAAATTGTCATTTCTGTTCAAAATAGACAGCACTTACCGCTGCCAAAAAATGTTTGAAATCTACATATTCAATTTCGAGCATTGTTTTTCTTTTCTAATTTCATTTATGAATTCATTTTTGCCAGGATCTATTTTTAATAGGATTTATTAAGTTCGGTTGTCAATAATTTGAAAATTAAATCAAAGTTTTGTGCAGTTTTGTGTCATTTAGAACAGAACAAGCAAACTCATTGCTGCTTTCAACCTTTAATATGCATTCTGTCATTATCAAAAAAGTTCATTGGCTTTGATTAAGCAACCAATCTTAAATCTTACAAATACATGGGTTCGAAACCTAATAAAAACGCATAATTATGTCTAAGACTTATTATTAAATTTTTTTTAAACAAAATCAGCATAAAAGCAAAAATTTATCAAACAAAGAATTTCTCAAATAATTACAATTTCTTTTTTTTTGTAACTCCATTCTTTCTGAATCAAATTTTAATGAATTCCACACAGCCGTCCCATTCTTGATATCATCATCAAATTAATAACAGCACAACGAGTTTTAACAATTTCATCCTAATAAAATTTATTTCTATCCATAATAACATCAAACATTATAATCGCAGTCGAGGGACAAATTTCCATAAAGATCATAAAAAACAAAAGACGAAGAGATAAAAAAAACTTGTTCGAATGAACAAGTTATGCCTAAATTTCGAGGGATAAAATGACATAACTTTTTTTATGAGTCCTTATTTAAATGAATTGAAATTAATAAACCACAAAATAATTATTATTCATTTCGCTGCGTGATGTGGAAAATGTAATTGTCGGTTGGAGTTTGTTTTGTTTGTAGGGCCTGTAATGAATCTGATTGTTATCATCTTGATGCTGTGTTAATTATGATTTGTCAAATTATTAAATTATTCTATAGAATTGCAAATTTTATTGTTTTATTCTGGAAGATTCAATGACTTTTAAGGTTGCAAACTAAGGAATTGTGATTTGAGTGAGTAATATTGTCAAAAATTCGTGGTTTGATACTGTAATGACTTTTCAAATTTGGAATCAGATTGAATCAAGCCTAGATCATCAGCAAAGAAGGCAAAAACCAATTCTTCCAGTCTTTTAATGCTATTTCATTGTACAAATAGCTTGCTGAAATTACATTCCCTACTTTAAAGCACGTCAATTACTCAGCATTTCTATTTCTTTATGCAGATTCCATAGAAATTGATTCTTAGTCTTTTGTTATTTATTGAAAAACTTTCCGGAAGTGAATAAAAGTTTGTCTTCTTTTGTACATCAACTTCCTTGATACACAGCAATCAATCTTAGTGGTGAAAGAGGAGGAAAAACATGAAAATTTGTCTTAGGGTTGAAAAGAAATTGATGAATGATCTGATTATTTACATTTTTGTTAACTATACACACGTCCTTAACATTATGAATATAAAATGTTTTGGAACTAAGAAGAAATAAATTAAGAAAGATAAATCTATGAGACAGAAAAGAATTGCCCATTTAAAATTACTACTGCACAATTGTTTGTTTTATTGCTTCATTTTATCATCAAATTGCATCTCTTAACTGCTCAGTTGTTCCTATTTAAATAATTTACTTTAAGAATAATTGTCAGTTTGAGTCAAAATAGGAGTTGATGATACAGAACATACAAAAAACATCATTTGATGACTTTTAGGAAAATATCGTAATAAGATTTTGTTGTGCATAGCAAGTCAAGTGGAAACTTAGAGAGCAGTCGAAAATGACAAAGGAAATTTATTCCTTCTTGTTTTTATTTTCTTCATGAATAAATTCCTTGCTTCTTCAAATTGCACGTCATGATTTATGATCAGCGGATCTTAATTCATGTGTTAAGTGAAATGAAACAATTTTCTTCAAACTGGAAGTTGCTAAAAGTTTTTTAATTATAAAAAATCACTATTTTGCATTTGCTATAAGTGCCTGTAATTTATAAAGAGAAGCCACAATTGTCTCATGGGATGAGTTAAAGTGCTGTCAACAGCGATTTTACTTGCAACGAGCCCTTTTTTCCATTTGACTGCAGTAACATGAAAAGAAAAATGATTTTGTAAATGTTTTGTCATGTCTCAACACGACACCCTCCTCACTCTACAAACTCACTTGCATAAATTCACTTCACTTTAGTTAAACGCAATGGATGGAAAGAAGGAAAAACACAAGGGTTGCACAATGTAATCGTTTTGAGCGACATTTAAGTTGATTGCTGATAATCATCACATCAATATATTTATATACAGCATAAACGGAAGAGTGTTGACTTAATTTGTTGGATCAATTTTGAATATTGTTCCATCTTAATCCTGAATGATGCTTTTGAGAACGTGAAAATTGCTTGGTTTTCTTTAATCTCCTTCCGCAATAATATTTGCGAAATCTTGTCTTTTTGCTCATTTCTTTTTGGGTGTTGATCTTGAATTATTTCATAAATACATAAAGTGGAATGAATATACAATAATAATATAAAAGATGAACAAGGGAGATGAAAAATAATTCCATTAATGTAGCGTTGAGGAAGAACAGTGCTCGTTTAGTAACAAAAGTTGACGATGAATGCTATGCGCATTTTAAAATATTAATAATTTGCTTCATAGCTTTTTTCTAATAATTAAATTAAGGTTTATAAATGAGTTCTAGACGAATCTCCTCTATGGGTCCAAAAATCTTCAATCATCTTCCAGAAAACATCCAAAATTGCCAGCACATTCATTCCTTCAAACGAGCTACGAGAGATTTTATTAGAAACGAGACTTTCATTGGTTCCTGCTTTAACGGTCAATTTCTTTCAAAGTTCCTGTAATGTCATCTGACATTTTTTTCATATTTTTTTTCACTTCAAACTACCTAGACGACAGATTTCGTATTTAACTATGATCTTACACAATTCAAATACTTTGCTACCGTTATTATGTTTTTGAACTTGTCTATTTTAAAAATGATTTAACCGTTAGCTAAATTCCCCAAAAGAGATCTTAAAGGAAGCTTATGCTTCTAAAAAAAATTGCTTATGCAATTTATTTATTTATGCTACTTGTTCCCAAGTTGAAATTTTGAACTCTTTATCTGCATGACAAACTGAAAGGATTCAAATCTCAAAGTTCCCAAAACTATGCTACGCAAAAAGTCATGGAAGAACCCCAAAAAAAGAAATCTAGCAAAAAAATTAAAGAAAAAAAAAAACGAATTTATGAGAAATGTTTGTCGATTCCATAAAACAATTTTCATATTTGTCATTTCTCTCCCTTTTTATTCCCAATATTTTTTAAGAGTTCCATCGTAGCGATTTTTATCGCTTGTGTGTATATTATAATGTACATATCGCATGAGATCTAATGTGAGCATCATAAATTTTATCCTTTGAATTATTCACAGTTTGACATCATCAACGAACAAGAAGCGCGCTGTATAATGTTCATTCATGCGTTAATGCATAGTGCAATGAAATTTTATTTCTTTCCTTACAATTTATTTAATATTGATAAATAATGTTCAAGCAGTGATTTTGCAAAAATCTCGTCGTTTGCATCTTCAAATCCAATTTCTATAAAGATTTAACTGATAATACAACAATTTGGAAATTAATTTACAACATATTCATTAGATGTTATTTAAAAAGATGAGAATGTAATCTCTTTTGTATACATCTAGTGAGAGCAATCGATTAGTTCTAATGAACCTCAACATTGTGCTTACCCTCGCACTGCTCTCAATGACTTATCGGCAAACAAAATAGATAAAATAAATCAAATGCTGCTTTTGGTTATGTTTGTATCAACCCTCTATTGACAATATCTTTCTCTTTCCACAAA